ATTCTGAAAAAGAAATACACTGAAATACAGAGGATGTATAGTCCTTCTTGTTGAGAATACATGTATGAGGACTGAATGAGCATATGTAATGAGATAAGAAACTAGTATCCCTGTTGAGTACTGGAGAGGTTTTTGTTCCAAGTGTTGTAGTAACTTGTAATTCAGCAATTTCCCTTTCCATTCTGTTCCTGAAGTTCTTTTGTAATAAAACAGCTACCCTGAGGTCATTCACTGAATGTCCTGGAAAGCTGAAGTGTTCCCCTACAGGTTTTTCAGTCTTGTGATTCCTGATGTCAGATTTGTGCCCATTTATCCTGTGACATAGGGTTTGTCTTGTTTGTTCTATGTAGAGGACTGAATGGCATTGTTGGCATTTAATGGCGTATACAATGTTAGAAGATGAGCAAGTGAATGAGCCTCTGATGGTGTAGTTGATGTTGTTAGGTCCAGTGATTGTGTTGTCTGGGTGTATGTGGCAGCAAAGTTGGCGTCTGGGTTTATTGTGAGCTCTGGTCCCAGTGTCCATGTTCAATTGCATTATTGTGGGTGAGGAGTTGTTTGAGACAAGGGGGCTGTCTGTGCACAAGAAAAGGTTTGCCCCTTAGTATAGTTGTGAAAGAGAACTGTAATTATTCAGTAGAGGTTGTAAGTAATTGATGTGTTGAACTGTTTTGAGCTGAGAGATGTATGTATGTATGTATGTATGTATGTATGTATGAATAACTGTTAGTATGTATGTATGTATGTATGTATGTATGTATGTATGTATGTATGTATGTATGTATGTATGTATGTATGTATGTATGTATGTATGTATGTATGTATGTAATGCCTGTGTAATGCCTGCGAGAGTTTTCTTATGAATTATAGACATGATCCAGCCACAGTTAATTGCTTCTAATCCATATTGGGTTCCAAGGAAGAGTTGAATGCGCAACTTTTTAACCAAAGACCCATTAAACCATTTCTCTTCTTACCCTGCTAATGCTACCCATCATCAATGTAAATGAATTCTTAGCTGTCTCAGGTGGCTCCTATATAACTTCCTAGATTGTTCTTGAACTTTTAATAGCTATATGACAGGAGTAGTCATACAGCTATCAGAGTGGTGGTACAGGAATCCCTTTGGCGATCCTGCATTTAATGCAGAATTATATCTCCGTCTGCTGTGGTGTAAAAAATATTTTGAGCAGGAGGTTTTCTGCTTGAAAAATATTTTGAGCAGGAGGTTTTCTGCTTAGACTGGTTCTTACATATAGGTATTTTGAATGTTCAACACTTGATTATTCTTAACCAAATGTCTAGTTCGGTGTAGTGGTTTGGTGTAGTGGTTAAATACGCGTACTGTAATCTGAGAGAACTGGGTTTGATTCCCCACTCCTCCACTCACAGCTGCTAGATGACCTTGGGCAAGCCATAGTTCTGATAACAGCTGTCCTTGAAAAACAGCAGTTTCTGTCAGAGCTCTCTCAGCCCCACCTACCTCACAAGGTGTCTGTTGTGGGGAGGGGAAGGGAAAGGAATTTGTAAGCCGCTCTGAGACTCCCTTGGGTAGTGAAGGGCGGGGTATAAATCCAGGTAGTGAAGGGCGGGGTATAAATCCAATCTCCCCTTCTTCTTCTACACTGAAAGGTGTTATATTTTAATTGACAGTGATGCAAACTTTCTTTCTGTGATTATTAATCTGTGATTCATCATTTGTTGCAACTAGGGATGTGCAGCATAAAAAAATCGATATTTTTTAGATCCAGATATCAGGGAGCCAAAAATAATGATATTCCTGGTTATCGGGGTTCAACTGGTCCTTACTTTTGTGAGGTTCATGAACTTTATGAACTCTTACAACGTTGTTGCTCAGGAAGCTGTGCACAGCTTCACACTGGCAATTCTAATTCTTCAGCATTTCCCATTGCCTATTATAAGAGATTCCTTAAAAAACAAAAATGAAACTCTGGGTTCTGAACCTAAGCTCTAACATGTGCAAAGGAAGATTCTAAGTTAAGTATAAGCTGGTGTATTCAGAAATAAGTTCCATTTTATTCAAAGTGTTTTTAAGATTAAGATGGGTAGCCATGTTAGTCTATCTGTAGCAGTTCTTACGATTTTTCTTAAGTCTCCTACACAATCTTCAGTAATTTTCAATAAGCTTTCATGTTGCATGATGGTTTCTTTTACGGGTAAAGTTGTCAAGTTACATTGAATGGAGCTGACAAAGATATATTAATTCTGTTCTGTAACCATATTGGGAATTTTAGTTGCTATAGATATAGAATTACATTTCAGTAGAAGATTAAGAAATCTATTGATTTGTAAAATGTCTTTCCACATGGCTGCAACAGAAAAATACATATTTTTGATCAGGCTTCTTGGGCCTTACCCATATTGTATATTTCATCCCAATACATTGGTAATAGTCACATGCTTGTTTTGTGCAGTCCAGATGTCTCTCTTTGAACCTTGAGGATACCCATTTTCGATCACTGGTTGTGCTACCTGGGAAAATGCAAGTCTTCTCCATATAGCACAGCCATTGCTATTTTAATTGCAATCTGGAATATGGTAGTATGAGTCTCATGTCTATTTTGTGGATGGTTGCTCCCCTTCCCCATATCCAAGCCATCTGTAACCTTTAAAAAGTAATTATAATACATTAGAAGCTGAACATAGGGTTGCCAGCTCTGGGTGTGGAAATACCTGGAGATTTTTGGGGTGGAGCCTGGGGAGGGTGGGGTTTGGTGAGGGGAGAGAACATAATGCCCTAGAGTCCATGCTGCAAAGCAGCCATTTTCTCTGAGGGAACTGATCACTGTCATCTGGAGATCAATTGTGATAGCAGGAGGTCTCCAGGCCCCACCTGGATACTGGCAACTAGGGTTGCCAACCCCCCCCCAGTTTGGTCCCCCGTTTTTTTTGGGGGGGGTTTACCCGCTGCCGGCCAGATGGCCGGCGGGGGAAGCCCCACCCCCAACACCCACAGCCACCCATCTCTCTCCCTTTAAGTGTGTGGAACCCGTGTTTCCTCCCAAGCCCGATTTGCCGCAAGTTTGCAGGGAAATGCCAGCTTCGTGCTCTTTAAAGGGAAACACGGCTGCTCTTAAAGGGGAAACGCCGGCTTCTGCATTTAAAAGGGAAATGCTGGCTCCTTTAAGTGCAGGGAACTGCTGTTTCTGGAGATCCGGCGCACAGGCGGGTGGGGGGGGGCGGGCAGACGTCCCCAATGTGACGTCATCACATCGGGGATGCCCCGCCCCCTCCAGGAACTCCCCCAAAGTCCCCCGCTGGGGGTGGAAGATGGAGTCGGCAACCCTACTGGCAACTGTAGCTGAGCATTTTGCTGTCCTAAGAATTCAACATAACTTGCTCATCTAGACTAGAAAAAGAAATAGCAAAACCTGGCCAAACAAATGTCTCACCATTCGTGAGCACTTTGTTTCAATTTTATTTTGTTGTTTAAAGGCTTATTTGGATTATTCTGGCACTGATCATCTCGACGTGTCCTAATATACCCTCAGTTATAATAAAGTTAGACAA